ACATTAAACAGGAGTGAAGCATTGTTTGCATCATCTCGTAATGGAAGCATCTTTTGTTTATGAAAAAGTTTTGACATCGCGTTAAGGCATAAAGAGAGTTTGATTGGTTGAATTAATTTTTAGGTCGATGACGAGTATTTGAACAACAAACTAATTACGGTTAGCACTCAAATAGTCTGGAAAAAGAGAGGATATCACGTCTATACCAATCATTTTTCATCCAAATTATATATAAAATTTGTTAGGCGAATTAAGTCGTAAGTCCTTAATGAAAGACGAGTATTCGAACAATGAATTAAATACGGCTATCATTTAAATATTCGAGAGAAAGAAAGTATATTACGCCAAACTCCACCAATCCCCGCACCGCTAGAGCTCTTCTACAGATGCCACCATCTAAGCCCATTTGAACACCATCGACTACCAGCGCTGGACTACTGTCCATCATCTCCAGACTAGTTGTCGCCGCCGCACCAGCTCACCGACGGCCTTTCAATGTCATCGTCTCCGTGGACTTCATGGCTGCTTTTTTCCTCGACTTTTTAATTTTTACTCTCTTAAAGTAAGTTTTCTTTCTTTTTATATGACTTAAGATTTTAAAACATACCATAGTTTTGGAGGAAATGCTGGATCCAGATACCTTCTACATAGATTTTTTTAAGTGTCTCAATCTGCACATCTGAACGATTTTATTAAGGACAAAAATTACAACTATAATATTGGGCCTTTTAGAGAAAACAAATCTAAAATTTCAAGTGAAAATGACATTTAGCAATTACTAATATGTATAACAATGTCGATATTAATATATCAGTGTGATTAATTGCCAGGCAAAAGGATTAGGACAAGGGAAAGGTTACTAGTTTGTGCAAGAAAAACCGGAGTGGTGTTTTCCACTAAATATAACATTACTTTCTTTAATAGACGCCATAATATTATTCACTATTAAGTTGACAACTTGATATAACATCAACCTATTGATAATATGTATTTTATACTTATAAATATAAGAGAATACTTTTTCTAAATATAAATTTTATTTTAAAATTCTCAATACGTTAACTTAAAAAATGTATTTTTAGTCAATACTATTAAACATCTTAAAAATAAAAAAGTCAGAGTTAAACGCATTCATATACAAACTGTATTTTAGAAATATTGATATACAAAATATAAATATAAATACTTATTAATATATGTGAAAATTATAAGATAGAAGCTTATATTAAATGGTTGAAGTTTTTGTTTATTTTTTATGAATAAGATTTACAGTAAGAGAATGGTTTCTAATTCAAGATAAAAAGAAGCCTTAGAGAATACTCGTAAAATATTGAAATATTAAGAAAAATATCTGTAATTTCAAGGGAAAAAGCGAACAAATATCATGATTTACATATTGTTTGTATATATTTTGCTTCAGTGGACCTCAAATTTTTTGACCACTGCGACTATTAGATACTGTCTGCTTTAGGTGTGGAAGCATGTAACAGTTTTACCCTTTAAAATAGATATCTTAGTAAAATATTGAAGTATTAAGAAAAATATCCGTAATTTCAAGAAAATAAATCAAGCACAAGTAGATGGATATTCTAAAGTGAACAAATATCAATTTACATATTGTTTGTATATATTTTGCTTTGGTCGACTTCAAATTTGTTGATCAGTGCGACTATCAGATACTGTTTGTTTTAGGCGTGGAAGCATGTAACAATTTTACCCTTTAAAAAAGATATCTCAACGAATTGAGAGTGTGAATGTTGTATATAAACTATCACAAATTCAAAATAACATGAGATTTTAAGGTGTATCAGAACAGTTGTCCTCAATTAAGGCTAAGGGGCTAAAGAGTTCGAACCTCGAGCATGTAGGTATGTCCCTCCCTTCTACCGCTAATGTCCAAATCGACCTAAAGTTTGCCGACCAATGTGACTATGAGGTATTATCTACTCTGAGTGTAGGATCCCATCACAGTTTTATCTTTTGAAAAAACGAATTGTTGGGTCAAAAAGTGTCAATATTGTATATAAATTACTCTTAGTCTCGATTCTCAAACAATGTGGAACTTTAAGGTGAACCAGAAATTGAAAGTTTCAATCACAACATGCTATAATTGAAATCTCTCAATAGTATTAATTTATTTGGTAGAAAATATGTGTGGAAAAAACAATGACAACCAAAATAAATGGACTCAAAAAACAAAATAACATATAATTAATATAAGCAAATCCACAACAAGCAAGAGAACGATAAAAGACGAGAACACATAGAACTTATTTACTCAATTTGATCAAACGTAACTACTTGGGAAAAGTGCATCTCTCTGATTCACCAATTCTCTACCCAAGTGTTTCTCAATCTCTCAAACTCTTTATATATGAATTACAAAAACTCAAGGTGTTTAGAAGTGTTTCTGAATCCTCTTAAATACATCCAAAGATATCGCGAATTCCAAAGACTTTAAGGAATTTCTACCTTTTCCTCTCTAAGTTTCTATACTATGATAACCACTTATTCCACTTTCTTTCATACTACATTATAAAGGTTATTCTAACAAGAATGATAGAGAGACATATTTATAACTGTTGAAATCCACATGAATCATAATGGACAAAGAACATGACACCTTAATGAACTGATTTGTGAACGAAAACAAAAAATCATAATACCTAGTGAGCCACCAAGTTGGAACCGCTACTCGTCTGACCCGACTCGCTACCTTTTAGGTCCTACCTTCGGTCTTCCTTCGCACATTCGGTGTTCCACTATTGACCGGACTTTGGCGGACCGTTGCTGTAACCACCACCACCTTAGTTCTGACGCTAACATGCACCACCGTTGATAAAAAATGTCACTTTGTTGAATATATTAGAAGTAACGTAAAAAGTTATAACTCGCACACCAAAAAACTGATATAAGTGTTATGGGAAATTTTCACTAGGGAACATTGAACATTGTGAGACTACCTGTGGGGAGTACTTTCGATACAAGTGAGTCGGTCCTTCACTCGAACCAAAGGCTCATGATACCACTGTTAGGGGGAATTTTCACTAGGGAGCATTGAACATTGTGGGACTTTTCTTTTTAGAACAATGCCTTTGTGAAAGACACACCACATACTCACCCAAAACTTTAAGGTGATAGGTGTGTGAGTTCTCCCACTTATAAATACTCAAATTTCTAACTAATATGAGACTATTACTCATACTACTCACATTTACTATATTTAACAATAAGATACACATCAATCACATTATAAGATGATAAAGATGTGTGTGGTATGATATTTAGGAGCAATTATTTAGGCAATGCTTCAATATATAATAATGAGAAATTATGGATGATTACCTCATATTCTCATGAATATAAGATTCTCATCCTTTTGTATGTGAACAAAAAGTAACAAATTTACAAGTAAATCACATTTGCGCGAATAAAAATTGAGAAAATGGAACATCTAATGACAATGTAAAATATATTTACACTCTAAACCAATAAAAGATATGTATTCCACTAAATCACTTTTTTAATTTTAAAATACTAATATGATTTGATAAATTTAAACATTTTAATTAGATGTCAGTGTAAAATTGATTTATACCGCCAGAATATCATCTTTACCCTCATAAAAATTACCTGAGTATAACTTTGATGAGAATATAAAATTTCTAACCTCACATTTCTGAAAATAAAATTTAAATTCATAAAACAAATCCCTCCTAATCTTTTAACTCCTCTACTTTTGAAGTTCCTGCATAGCCACTAACAAAATTGAAATTCAAATTAAATGAGCAAGACTTGCATAATGCTTCTAAAGTTAACATAATGGACGTGGCATTTGTCTTCGGAATTTCTGGACTGTGCCTGCCAGCTCATTTTCATCGCTTTCCTAGGAATGATAAGGATGTTTTTGCAATTAAAACGAATCTATAATTTTTGTTGGCGAATTCATCAAATTAAGCAACCGTTATTTTTAGAGCGAATATTTTATGAAATCTTAACTAATGCTTATATCTTGACGTTGGTATAACTGTCAATGATTAACATATGTATCAAGACATATGTATAACAAGTATTTCATAAATTAATATGTTACATGACTAATAAATATTGTTACACTGATTAGAATTGTTGCTATATAAATTAATCGCATTTTATTCTTTAACATAAAACAGTGATAACAATATCATTATCGACATTATTAATACGGTTTTATCACGGTCGATTTAGTGGTTGTAGAATGTCTTTTAAAACCCGTACTAGTCTTTTAGAGCCTATTAAAGTTATCACAGGATTCACTTCGTAAAGGGCGGGGAACAGCAATAGTTTCCTCCGAATTTTAAAATCCAATATTTCCATTAAAATCCATTTTCTCTCTCCACAATTGCATGATTAGTTGAAACTGTTTCTCTTTTTAGGAAAGAGAAAGAGCAACAAACATCATCAGGTATATATATGTATATATGATTTGGCTTGTTTGTATTTTATTGTTTAATCAGCATTGAACTAGTGTTTCATTTCATTCAGATAAACTTGTGCTAAATAGTATTTCACAATCAATTTTTAACTGCCTAATGCATTTGACTCCGCAGTTGAAGAGATTCCTCAGAATATAAGGTTAGTTAAGCTTGGTTTTCAGCTTTTATTCTTATATATTCATACATTAATTTGGTCTCAATTATCTGTAATAATTTGAAAAAATTGAATGACATGACAAGCGTCGGATCAAATATTGACAAATGTCAGACTTCAACACACCTTTGTTCAGAGGTGTCAGCTTCTCCATTGAGATATTTTTCCCTTGTTGGGATTATAAATCTCACAAATTTTAGGGACCAGTTTGAGTATTTACTCCCACCTTGAAAAACCTGCCATTGAATTTAATTCATCTATTTGACTTTTTTCACAGACTTGTTGGATTTTGGACTAGTACTTCTTAGGGTGCCAATGCCATTAAAATGAATTGAAATCAAACTTTTGTGTTATATAGAAAAAAACATATTATGGAGAAAGAGTGTGTTGAGGATATTATGGACATTGAAGTTCTCCCTTCAATGTGGCCAGAAGATATTGCAACTGATGTTGGAAAACAGTTCAATATTGAAAAGCCAGGAAACGACCAAGATATGTTAGAAGAGATTACAATCATAGAAGAACCGACTATAGCCGATTTCAAGCGTCTCATTGAGCTAACAAATTTCACAGAAAAAGGTTCTTCTCAGTTAGCAAACCTTATGAAACACTGGGAGTATAAACAAGCCAACGTCGCGCGTCTGTTAAGAGAAGAACTCGACAACCTAAGCAAACAAAGAAAGGATGTTGAGTTAAGGAAGTTGGAGATACTGGAAGAGCATAGATTCGAGAAAGAGAGATATGGAGGCGATAAACGGCCGGTTTCTATATTGGATGATATTTATGATATATGGCAACAGGATGTACCTTGTAGAAAAAGTGATGTTGTGGTTAAGAACAAGAGAATTGAAATTGATGCGGAGTTTGATACTGTTGTGTACTGGAAACAGCGAGCCGTGCACTTAGAAAAGCTTCTTGAGGCAAGTTTGATGAGAGAAGAGTCACTTGAACAAAAGTTGCGAGAAAGTATTAAGAACTTTGAGAGACAATTCTCACCTGTTGAAGAACTCTCTCAGATTTTGAAGAGAGCAGATAATTTCTTGCATTTTATACTCCAAAATGCTCCGGTTGTTATTGGCCATCAGGACAAAGAGTTGCGTTATCGCTTTATCTATAATCACTTTCCGAGTTTACAAGAGGAGGTAATGATTTTTGCTGTTGAAGCTTTTCTTGCAAAGTTCATTCAAACTTTCAATCATTTTCTATCATTTTTTTCAGGACATTATAGGAAAAACGGATGTTGAAATATTCACCGGATCTGGTGTTAGGGAGTCTCAAGATTTTAAGATGGAAGTTTTAGAAAAAGGATTGCCTGCGAAAAGGGAAATCACTTTCGAGACAGAACTATTTGGTTCGAAGACATTCTTGATTTATGTCGAACCTGTCTTCAGCAAGACAGGAGAAACAATTGGAATCAATTACATGGGAATGGATGTAACAGATCAGGTAAATGTTATTGTTGATTTCTTGTTTTTTTTTTCTTTTGTTGAATTTTCAGTCTTAAATGTTACTTGCATGGATATTTATGTTTCTTGGAAAATGAAGGTGAGAAAAAGAGAAAGGATGGTGAAGATTCGCGAAGAGATAGCTGTTCAAAAAGCAAAGGAAACAGAACTGAATAAAACCATTCACATTACAGGTTGATTCATTCATCCATTAACAAATCCTTTTATCAAATTTTAATTTGTTTTTGCCGCTCGAAAGCTGATTATGTTTTCCACCCTTTTGAATAGAGGAAACTATGAGAGCAAAACAAATGCTGGCAACAATGTCACATGAGATAAGATCTCCGCTGTCCGGTGTTGTTAGCATGGCCGAAATTCTTTCTACCACAAAACTTGATCGGGAACAACGACAGCTCTTGGATGTAATGTTATCATCCGGAGACTTGGTTCTTCAACTCATAAATGACATACTTGATCTTTCCAAGGTTGAATCAGGTTGGAAACCTATCCTTGTTTTCAGATTAATTATGATATAGTATCGCGTAAAATATTTTAACCCATCAACAAATCACTACCAATCATGCGACTTTCGAAGTAGTATTTAGTAATGATTAAAGTCAAATGTTTCTGATGATCTGATGGTTATGATTTATTGAAAAACGTTTACACTGACAATGTATATGAACTAAATCCTATTATTTATTTATAAATTGAGAATTATATAGAGACGAATTCATACCTCCAAAAATCTTGATTCTATGTAGGAGTGATGAAGTTAGAGGCTACAAAATTTCGACCACGAGAGGTAGTAAAGCACGTGCTTCAGACAGCTGCAGCGTCATTGCAGAAAACATTAACCTTAGAAGGACATGTAGCAGATGATGTACCTATTGAGGTGAGGAGATATTTAGCAGCTGCATAATTCTAATCGTTACTACGAGTGCTAGATGGTCACGACATCAAAACATTAAGCATGATTTCAAGTGATTTGTGCATAATTGCAGGTTACTGGCGATGTTTTAAGGATTCGACAAATCCTCACCAATTTAATCAGGTACTAAACTTTGCGCGATTAGTAGTCTCAAACTTTGCAACATTGTTTCAGTTATGATTGATTGATAGTATACAAAATATTTACACCTTCAGCGCATATCAATTAAATCATTTTCATTATTATTTATAATATTTTGCAGCAATGCCATCAAGTTTACAGATGAAGGCAAAGTTGGGATAAACCTTTATGTAATGAAAGAAGAAAAACATCTCTCAACACCTCAAAACCATGGATTTAATGATGACTGTAGATCTCTGGTTAAAAGCGAATGCTCGATGAATGGAGACACAGAGGATCAACATCACTCAGCTGAAACAATCGTGTGGATAGGTTGTGATGTATATGATACAGGCATTGGAATACCAGGTATCGAATATCGCTACTTTGTCTCTATCTAGCTTAATGTTCATTCTTCTGTTTGTATAGAAAAAAGTATTCATCAGATGAATAAATTTTCGATGTTACAATGTAACAGAAAATGCAATACATAGTTTATTTAAAAGGTACATGCAAGTCAGTGTAGACCACGCTCGGAAGTATGGCGGCACAGGGCTAGGACTAGCAATATGCAAACAATTGGTAAGCCTCTTGTGTATTTGGTGAGAATGTCACATTCATTTGTTTTCTTCACTTTCTAAATTGCCACCATTTTTTCTGCAATTGGCATAGGTTGAGTTGATGGGGGGTAGTCTAACAGTGTCTAGCAGAGAACAGCATGGTTCTACCTTCACATTCATACTGCCATACAAGGTCTCAATAGCTTGTGATAGTTCTGATTACTCGGACGAACTCTCGGACATGGAGCATAACGATGCAGCTTCTGATGATACAACAACAGAAGGTTTCTTCCAGTTCCACACAAACAGAACTCAGAAGCTATTACCACACAAATTCAGTGGATTTTCTGAGAGTTCGTTCTCATTTCCCGCTACTTCTAATGACATCGTATCAAAAGGGACATGTTCTTTCGATGAATCATCTTCCGTTGTTGATGCTTCAGATATGTCTGAATCAGCTAGTTCATCTAGTAACAAACATCATCTATATAATGCTCATGCATGGTTTCAAAATGGTAGTGCAGATTCTTCTCAGCATATGGTGGTAAACACAACTACTCAATGTGTTAGTAGAAGTAGTAAATCAGAAGTAACCAAATCCATATCTAAGCCTAAGATCCTTCTTGTGGAAGATAACAAGATCAACATCATGGTGACACAATCCATGATGAAGCAGTTGGGTCATAACATTGATGTTGTCACTAATGGAGCCGAAGCCGTACGAGCAGTTCAACGCTGTACTTATGACCTGGTTCTGATGGTAATTTAAGATCTCAGAACTGTACCTTTTTCAACTTTCACTCCATGATTAATTTGCATTTATTAAAGGATTTGATCTTTACAGGATGTGTGCATGCCGGTTATGGATGGTCTTCAAGCAACAAAACTGATTCGGTCTTTCGAGGAAACAGGCAATTGGGATGCTGCAAAAAATGCTGGAATCGAGCAAAGTCTACTAGATCTAGATTATGAAACTTCTGTTCCATCTACAAAGCGAACTCCCATTGTTGCAGTAAGCTCTAGAAGACTAGAACCATTAACATATTGACTAGAAAACAAACTGACATGTTTAAGTTGTTTATTGGATTATGTAAACAACTATTAGCATGCTACAAAAAATTGATTCTTATTATGAATGCTTTTGGAAAGTTAATAATCACTGCCTTGTATGAATGCAGATGACAGCAAATGCTTTGTCAGAGAGTGCAGAAGAGTGTTTTGCCAATGGTATGGACTCATTTGTATCAAAACCTGTGAGTTTACAAAAATTGAAAGAGTGTATTGAACAATATACTTAAGGTTATAATACCTTTGTAATTTCTTCTTTTGTATAAAAGAATATGAGTAAGGTAATTTTGTAATGTATGTATCATATTTTCATCCTTTGCAAGTGCTTATCAGGTTTATGTATCATTACTGGTGACGTACCACAACTGTCTGATAAAAGAAACCTTGAATCAATATAATTATTAGGATCTAGATAGTGTAGATTATAGCATAGTGAATGTGAGTTAATATCACAGTTGTTCACATAAACACCTTCTGGACAAATTGTACTTGAAGAGGCCTCAGCTGCTCCTAGGTCATCATCATGAAAACTAATGTTTTCATTTTTATTTCCACTTTTTTTGAATGGATGATGTGAGATTTTGGGTTGAACTCAAACTTTGTCGAGGAATAGCTTTTATGTATTTCGACAGGAGACAAGCATAAAGTCAAAGATGAGTCATGTGATGTGGTCGAAGGATACATATTGTAGTCGAAGTCTGTTCTAACATGTATTGTCGAAATGTTTGTCGAATTGGGCCTTTTGTTATGGATCCAATTGCTTAGTTAGCTTGGGTTGCAAGTTATCTAGTTAGTCTATATATAGTCACTCAGGTTGTTGAGTGAGGCCAATTGTGATGCTCATTTGTAATCATTTGTAAACTCTTATGAGAAAGTGAATAGTAAACAATTTGCCCTAATCCTTCTTCTTCTTTCTTCTTTCTTCTTTATCATTTCTTCTTTCTCTCTTTATTCTAACCGTTTTTCATTGTTCACACAAGAATTCCGTTTCTCAATCTTGATTTGTTGAAAGGTATCGTTTGTGATCACAACAAACTGGTGCGGTGAGCGTGGAGAAGATGCCGTCAACAAAGTTTGAAGTTGAGGAGTTCACTGGAGTTAATGACTTTGGTTTATGGCATTTGAAGATGCGAGCTCTTATTGTTCAACATGGTTTGCTAGAAGCGTTAAAGGGAGGAGATACCATGAATGCTGCACTGACAGAGAAGGAAAAGACAACGATGATCGAGAAAGCCCACAACGCAATTGTTCTAAGTCTTGGTGATAAAGTTCTCAGGCAGGTTTCGAAGGAGAAGACGGTGGCTGGTGTTTGACTGAAACTCAAAGGATTGTATATGACAAAATCCTTGGTGAATCATTTGTACTTGAAGTAAGCTTTGTATTCATTCAAGATAACTGAGGATAAAGCGTTGACAGAGCAGCTGGATATGTTTAGCATGTTGATTCTTGATCTTGAAAATATTGATGTTACCATCAATGATGAAGATCAAGCATTGTTATTGTTGTGTTCTTTATCAAAATCGCATGCTCACTTCAAAGAAAATCTCTTGTATGGAAGAGAGTCCATGACCTTTGAAGAAGTTCAAACAGTCAAGCAACCTTGTATTCGAAGGATTTGAACGAAAGAAAGGAGCAGAAACCATCATCATCAGTTGGCAAAGGATTGTCCGTAAAGGGGAAGTCGTCGAAGAAAGATCGTAGGTTTGAGAAGAAGAAAGGTAAAACTCAGCAGAAGTCTTATGGTGGTGATATTTCTGGGGTTAAGTGTTATCATTGTAAGAAGGAGGGTCACACAAGAAAGATGTGCCCTGAGCGCCTGAATAATCGTGGAGGTAAGGACAATGAAAATGCAGCTATTGTGCAAGATGATTATGAATCATCTGGTGTCCTTGTGGTGTCGAGCAGCAACTCTTGCAAAGAGTGGATTATGAATTCTGGATGTATTTGGCATACGACTCTAAACAAGAATGTGTTTGAAGAATTATGTGATCAAGATGGTGGATCACTGTTGTTGGAAAACAATAAAGCTTGCAAGATTGCAGGTATTGGATCTGTAAGATTCAAATTCCATCGTGACTCAATAAGGCTATTAAATGGGGTTAGGTATGTACCTAACCTTAAGAGTACCTAACCTTAAGAGGAATTTAATTTCTCTTGGTGAATTCGAAAAGAAATGATATATCTTTAAAGGAGAGCAAGGTATCCTGAAAGTCATGAAGGGGTCGAAGAAAGTCTTGAGAGGCGTGAAGAAACAAGACTTGTATACCCTTGAGGCTGAGGTTGTAAGTGGTTCGGAAAATGTTGCATCCATGAAACTTGTGTCGAAGAAAGAATTATGACACATGAGATTGAGTCATGTCAGTGAAAGAGGCCTGGTCGAATTGGGGAAGCAGAACCTGCTAGGTGGTGACAAAGTCGAAAAATTGGAGTTTTATGAATCTTGTGTATTTGGTAATCCTGTTGGGAAAAGTTTAACAAAGGCAAATAAAGAACACATGGATCCCTTGATTACATCCATGCTGATCTTTGAGGGCCTACAAGGAATCCTTCACATGCAGGTGCAAGGTACTTTCTATCCATAATTGATGACTATTTCAGAAAATTATGGGTATTCATTCAGAAGACTAAGGATGAAAATTTTGAGAATTTCAAAAGTTGGAAGGTTCTGGTCGAAACTTAAACTAACAGAAAGGCTAAGAGGTTGAGAATCGACAATGGCCTTGAGTTCTGCAGCGAAGCTTTCGACAGTTACTGTGTTGAGTCTGGGATTGCAAGGAATAAGATTGTAGCAGGTATTCCTCAACAAAATGGCTTAACCGAGAGATTCAATCGAACAATCCTTGAAAGGGTTAGATGCATGTTGGTTAATGCTGGATTGAAGAAGCTGTTTTGGGCAGAGGCTATTTCGACAACAACTTATTTGATAAAAATAGATGTCCCTCGACTACTTTGGGAATGAAGACACCTAAAGAAGTTTGGTCGGGTGAATCACCAGATCTCGAAAAAATGAGAGTATTTGGTTGTTTAGCCTATGCTCACATTAGGCAAGACAAGGTCGAACCTAGAGCTCTGAGATGCATGTTCCTTGGATATTGTGAGGGAGTGAAAGGTTATAGGATGTGGTGCCTAGAACCAGGTCACAGAAGATGTATCATAAGTCGTGATGTAGTTTTCGATGAAGTCGAGATGGCGTTTAAGAAAACTGGTGATGTTGGTCAAAGTGCAGAAATCTTTGAAGAGGAGCTGGAACAGGTAGAAATTCCTGTTGAGGTGAAGTATAGTGATGTTGAAGTGCATAACCTAGATAATGTCGAAGAAGAAGAGCAAGATGCTAAAGAGACTGAGGAAAATGTCGATGACTACCTACTGGCAAGAGATAGGTATAGAAGAGTCATCAAGCCACCTAAGAGACTTGGTTATGTAGATCTTATAACTTTTGCCTTAATCTCTACAAGTGAGGTACTTAAGGAAGAACCTAGAGATTATAAGGAAGCTATGAGGAGTCAAAACAAGACTGAATGGCAAAAAGTCATGGATGACGAGATGAAATCTCTTCACGATAATAACACTTGAGAGCTGATTGAGAAACTTGCAGTCAGTTGTAAGTGGATTTTCAAGGTCAAGAAAGGAATCGAATGAGTGATGTTGAAGCTCTTTAAGGCAAGACTGGTTACTAGGGGGTTCACTCATAAAGAAGGTGTTGACTTTAATGATGTGTTCTCACCTGTTGTAAAGTATAGATCCATTAGAATGTTGTTGGCCATGGTGGCGAAGTTCGACTTGGAACTTGAGCAAATGGATGTGAAGACAACATTTTTGTATGGTGACCTAGACAAAACAATTCTGATGCATCAACCTGAAGGGTATGCATAAAAGGATAAGGAAGATTATGTGTGAAATATGAATAGGTCTTCGTATGTCCTGGAACAATCTCCTCGACAGTGGAATAGGAGATTCGACAAATTCATGGCACAAATTGGTTTCACTAGGAGCCAGTTCGATCACTATGTTTACTTTAGATTTCGACTTGGAAACTCACTTGTTATTTTGTTGCTTTATGTGGATGATATCCTCATAGCTAGCAACAGCGTCGAGGATGTGATGGAGGTGAAGGATGAACTCAGTAAGGAGTTCTAAATGAAGGATCTGGGAGCTGCCACTAGGATTCTTGGGATTGATATCCGGAGAGATAGAAAGCAGTCAAAGTTGTGCTTATCTCAAGAGACATACCTACAGAAGCTTCTCGACAAGTTTGGTATGTCGAATTCAAAACCTGTTGTGACTCCACCAAACCCCCAATTTAAGCTTAGTACTACTCAAAGTCTGAGTACTGAAGCTGAAAGAATATATATGAGTAGCATTCCATATGCTATTGTAGTAGGTACTTTGATGGATGTTATGGTTTGTACGAGGCCAAACATAACGTATGGTGTGGGCCTTGTAAGCATATATATGGCTAATCCTAGAAAGACGTACTAGCAAGCTGTAAAGTGGATTCTCAAGTACATAAATGGGTCTCTAAAAAGAGTCTTGATTTATGGTGGAGCCTATGGTGGTGATAACATAGTCGAAATCGAAGGATTTTTCGAGTCTGATTATGTAAGATATATGAATTCCAGAAAGTCTATTTTTAGATATGTGTTTACTATGTTTGGCACAACAATCAGTTGGAAAGCAACGCTTCAGAAGGTTGTTGCCTTATCAACCACTGAAGCAGAATATATTGCCCTCACTGAAGCTACGAAAGAAGCATTGTGGCTTGAAGGTTTTGCAAAGGAACTGAAACTTCATGGTCGAAGTATCACTGTTAAATGTGATAGTCAAAGTGAAATACACCTGTCGAAGAACTCAACCTATCATGAGCGAACAAAGCACATCGATGCAAGGCTGCACTTCGTTAAAGAGATAATCGAGTATGGTGAAGTCCAGGTGCTGAAGGTTTTGACTGAAGACAATGTTGCTGATATGATCACCAAGACATTGCCAAGTTGCAAGTTTTTCCACTGTATGCAGCTGATTAAGTTGCATGATAAAAGCTAGTTGTTTCCCTATTTGTTGAGTTAGATCCAAGGTGGATATTTTTGAGATTTTGGGTCGAACTCAAGCTTTGTCGAGTAATAGCTTTTATGTATTTCGATAGGAGACAAGCATGAAGTCGAAGATGGGCTGCATGTTGTGGTCGAAGGATACATATTGTAGTCGAAGTCTGTTCTAATATGTATTGTCGAAA